CAGACTGGCAGCACTGTCAGTGTTATCTCTCTCTCTCTCTCTCTCTCTCTCTCTCTCTCTCTCTCTCTCTCTCTCTCTCTCTCTCTCTCTCTCTCCCCCCTCCCCCCCCCAACGGGCAACAACGGTGGGTGCCACGTTGAAATGGCCACTTTGAAATTGCTCTCACCTGTGCGAAACCCGCCACCCCAAAAACCTGCAGTGTCTTGTGTCCGGACCTTTAGGCCCTGTCCGGTGGGGTGAAAAGACACCGAAAAATCACCCCGTTATTTTTCGAGGGGTGGCCAGGACCCGATAAACGTCCTGGGCCACCCGCTTTTTTTTTTTTTTTTTGCCCCAGGGGCCTCCATCCTGACATAAGGACCGGACACCGGACACCAAACACCGGACTGTCTGGAACTCGGGCCGCACGTCCGAAGGGTTACCATGGAAATTTTGACTAAGTCCACTTTTGAAAATTTAGAAAAAAAAGTAAGTTTTAAGTTTTAGCCAAATAGTTATTTGGTGGTATGATACATCATAAGTTCATAACATTGCTATACAAAGAAGGGGACAAAACAAATAGTAAAATACAAACTATAGACCGATAATTATGTTCTCCCTCCCCTACAAGATCGTTGCGAAAACACCAACTAACAGGCTGATACCCCATGCATATCTTCCAACAAGACGGCGCGGCGCAACGGGGAGCACCGTGTCGCTCCGCTATCGACATGCGCTGGTTCATGAATTCGTGGCGCCTTGTCGGCACGGCTCCCTGCGAGGAATATCAAGGAGTTGATGTGGGCAATGGGGACTACAGCGGCAGGCGATGAATAGGTTCCATTGGTTTTGTCTGGGGCGGCCATTGACGTGATGTTTCGACTGAGGGTTCTTCCAGCCTTGATAACCTAGGCTGAAGTGGTTTCTTGCTCCGTGCTTCGTTTACGTGGTGTCGCGGAGGGGAGGCTGTCGGGATGATTAGGATAGTCTTCATGAGATATTGGGCGTGGTAGTGGCCCTGCTTCTATGCTCCTGCGCGAACCTAGTGGAAATTGGTTGGGTAGCGCGGGCCGAAAGTGAGGAGCATCTTCTCATGCGGAGTGGGAGGAGGGAGGCTTGTTACAAGCTGGAGTGTAAAACAGAGCTGCCGGTTTCAAGCGTTCGTTTGAGCTGCTTCACCGGTCAAAGACACGAAAGCAGATAGCGGCGCAATAACGACAATGGCAATGGAGCACGAGAATTTCCTACGAACATGTGTAGCGCTCTTCGTGTTAGCTGCCTTTTCAAATTGATTTTGTTGATTTTAATTTTGTATCTTTTAATTTCCTATATTCTTGCTCTAATCTAGTGCTTATACAGTTCTAATTTCAGCTTCTCAAATTTGGAAAAATAAACTCTCAATCTTATCTCCTATTTTTTGATCAGCCAAATTCTCATCTACATGTATACACATACACACATATCCTTGAAATTCGACTACAATTTTTGAAACTCCCAAGTAAAGTATTCTCATCTACATGTACACACATACACACAAACATATATTATATATTCTGAATCGCCAGTACAATTCGTAGGGATCTGTTCTATAATTTCGTATCCTTGAATTTTGACTATAATTTCCAAAAGTCCCAAGTAATTTTCTACCATGATTTTCTAATCTTGGAACCCGAAAACTTCGGAATTCTACCATTATAGCTACAAGTGGACCCAGACGAAGGCAAAAACGTTTTGCGAAACACCCCAGCCATCAGTTGGACCCCATCTTTGCAATGTACCGGTAGTGGACGCTGCCCAACTTCGCAAAATGGGCCAGCAGTCACCAAGTTTTTGTAGGTGTAATTGCAAAAGGCCAAGCAAATTTGCACACACACCTGACAAGGGGATAACACAAACATGTCAGTCCAAAAGGCGATTCCAACTCTCTCTCTCTCTCTCTCTCTCTCTCTCTCTCTCTCTCTCTCTCTCTCTCTCTCTCTCTCTCTCGCTTGCTCGCTCGCTCGCGTGCGAGCCCTCGTCCTCCCTTTCACACCGCTTAACAACAACAAATGATGGATCGTCCTTCTCCCGCTCCCCCTCCTGCTGTTCCTCCCGCTCTTCCTCCTCCCGCTGCTCTTCCTCCTCTTCCCTCCTCTCCTGCTCCTCC